AGAAAGATGCTCAGAATAACATCGACCGGATATGTGTGCAACGCCGAAGTTTTAGAGAAAATGGAAACAAAAAAATAAACTTAGACATAACATCAGGAAGGGGTAGCTGCAAGTTCTAGAGAACATAATGAGGAAAGAGTACTTTGAAAATCTAAAACTCACAAGACAGATTAAAGGCAAGAGGGGGAAAAGGAAAACAACGTATAACTTCTTAGTGAGCTTGATTAAATGTTTGATGGAACCGGTTTTGGGAGAAATGAGAAAAAGATAAAATTTATTAAAAGCTACAAAGCATAGGAAATTGTGGAGAGCCGTGATCGTCAACAACCAGAATGAACATGGCACATGAAGAAGACATATAAACTTGAGTAAATAGTTGGCGGAACAAGGTTTTAAGAGAAATAAGAAAAAGACAAAAATTTATAAAGAGCTACAAGGGACGGGATGTTGGGGAGAGCCATGGTCACTACTGTACTGTATAAACATTTAGAAATAAATTAGAAAAGTTACAAGGGTAGAAAAACCACATTAAATCAGCCTGAAGCTGGTTGAAAGAAAAAATACACGTCTACCACGCCTGAAATAGCTGTTAGGTATAGTTATCTCATTTAGCGACTAACTCGTTTAGCGACCAGGTTGCTGGAACGGAACTTAGCCGTTAAGTGAGGTGTTCTTGTATTACGTATTTTAAGGTGAGGAAAATGTGTTCCATATCAAATTGCAAAAGTGGGTGTCGTTCCGGGTTTGTATACATGTCGTTCTTGTCTGGTCCGATACGGAAACAAAAAAATCAATTTTGGGACGAAATAGTCGCTGATAAGGAAAAGTTTTCTCCGAAAATATAAAAGACGTACGGTAAAAATTAACATGTCAGGAGAAACTGAATCAAGCAGTTGGAATGTTCTCAGCCTTTCGTAGAATACAAAAGAGATGTCGTTTCACGTTTGGCTGCAATGTGCGTGGATATGTGTTCCTCAGATTTAAACTCTAAGCAAGAGACCAACCATTAAAACCCATTTAAACACACACACAATCTCCCAGACTCCTTTAGAATGATACTAGTAGAAAACATAAATATATTAACTGCATCCACCTGCAATTTTTTTTAAAATAATGGAAGCTTTAATAATAAAAAAGGAAAACCCAACCCTTAACAATATTAACCACGAACAAAGCCACAATATGCTAACCGTATTCGGAAATTAAAAACATCCCTGCCACACACTAAGACATACACAGAACGCACACACTCAATTAAGCTGAAAAATCGAATCATCTTTGATAATGGCTAATGGTAAGGCCGAAAGCGTTCGGAAATATAAAACATTTGGACAGTTCTTACACACCCTTTGTCCAGATAAGAAAACTCTTGTCAGAACACAAGAAAAAATTAAATAAAAAGCCTAATCGTAGTAACTTGTTTGTTGTTTTTAATGAAACATACATAAACGAAGGATTGCGGCCTAAATATACAGCTATATATATATATATATATATATATATATATATATATATATATATAAAAAAAAAAGAAAGAGAGAGACATTAAAAGCCCCTTTTTAATTATTTTCTCTTGCTTTGTCGTCTTTCCATTCTTCTTCCTTCCTGCCTCTCTAAAGTTTAAAAATCCGGAAATAAAAAAAAATAGAATTTAGAGAGAATGTGGGACGAATATTAGAGCAAAAGAGACATCCGACAACATTCATATTTCTCTCACTTAAACCGTCTTTAACTCACCTCTCTAAAACTCCTCTCTGTTAAGTTTTAATCTCCCACCTTCTCTCGTCTGATTCCGGATTTGTTTTTTTCTGTTTTCTTTTTGAATTTGTAGGTCTGATGAATTGGATCGTATTTACGATTCCAATGGAATAAATTATGACCATGGAATATTAGTGTTTAAGGCTTTTTATTATATCCTTACTCTGTCCTGGACATTGAGTTCTACCTGGATTCTATCCTCTTGGAATTTTTTTATTCAAAAAGTATATATGTATGTGTATAAATGTATGTATATATATATATTTATATATTTTCATATATGTATGTGTATAGTTACCACTAATATTATATATATATATATATATATATATATATATATATATATATATATATATATATATGAGAGTGAGAGAGAGAAAAGATAGAGACAGTCAGAGAAAGAAATGGAGAGAGAAATAGCTAGATAGCGAACATACTCACATAGCTAACTAGCTAGTTATACACACATTTATACAGAGAGAGAGAGACAGAGAGAATGATAGTGAATATGCAGAGATAGATAGATACATACATACATAAATATTGACACTTTAACATCATATAATGTCAGCAAGCTTGTCTCGTTAAAGCAAATATGATTCCCATTGGGTGTTCTATAATTTTAGCACCAGAAAATATTTTTTAGTTTTTTTTTTTTTTTTTTTTTAAAATAAGAATTTGCTGGTACATTTGATGAAAAGAAGAAAACGGCTCGTAAAGAAAAATACAAATTAGCAATAAA